GGTAAGCAATTCAATGTCTCCCACTGCTACTACCTCCAATCCTCACCTTCTCCAGATGTCTTAAATTACATTTGACAAATATGTTCCACAGCTCTGCGATCGACTTCAACAAGGTTCATAAAGCGGACAGTCAGGAGTGCCGTGAAATTGGCAAGCGAATGGGATTTCTCAGACAAATTCGAAGTAGACTTTAGACCTGTCCAAGTAAAAAGTGTAAGAGGTAGGTATAAAAGAACACGTCGATTAAAAAGTATTTCATAAATCATTTTACCACTTACTTGAACAAAAGGAAAAGGAGCCCACCGATCCATCGACTTAACCACAGTGTAGCCTGGAATCGCAGCAACTTTAATGAATGTGGAGTTCTTCCGTCTTGATGTGGGAACCGCGGCAAAGCCGCGTGTGTTGACAGCTATGCGTCAGTGAATGATCTGCTTTTGGGGTCACTGTAGCGTTGCATTTCAACAAGCCGCTATCATGACATTGTCAAAGTAGGCATGGATAGAGGCAAAGCTCCCACCTCTCCGGCATCGTCATAAACGGGTCAGTTAGGTGATTAGTTTGTCAGTTGCACGATTTTTCCCGCCTCATTATGACCGGATTGATGGGGTACCTGCAATCATTTAAACAAGCAACTCCTTAGGTATTGTCAGTTACAATTTTGGGGAGTTTCGGACCCTTAAAGCTTCAGCGGACTGGAAGTGTTTCAACTAAATAGAGCGAGAAAGTGATTTAGCCGTGGCAATACGAGATGAAGAACATCTAGATACTGTTCCAGTACTGTCGTACAGTTTCTGAGTCGCTTTGAAGATAAGTAGGTTTCAAAGTGACTTAAAGGCCCTAAGAGAATACTGAAGCAGGCCGGGGGGTGAGCAAGGCACCATATCACTGGCTATAATTCAGTGGTGGTGGGCATGGACCGCATTGCTGATGCATACCCACATGGAAGTATCAGGACGCTGAGAAGGATGCTGTGGTCACCGGTGTGGCTAGATGAAATGACTGGAGTAAATTGTAAGGGCACAAGAGTAGCTATTGTTCACAAGCATGTATCGTAAAGCATAGATGGGAGGTGTCAGTCTATCGTTTCGCGACGGTACGGTCCATAACGGCATGACGCGGTGCTCCACATTGGCCTATCTACCACCCTCCTCCTACCTTTCGCTCCTCATTTCACCAAATGTCATGCTAACCTGAAGCGTGTGGTTGCTGCTTGATTGCTTTGTGAATTGAGTTGGAGTCGGTTCCACAAAATATTTGGGGAAGGTGAGCATTGTAACAGTAATGTGGGTCACAATGCATTGCCCACCTGTTGTAGGTCAAACCACAATGCAACATGATACGGCTCAAGTGTGTATATTAAAAGCCTCTCCATCACCGATGTCCTAGATGTTGGCTTCTTTATCAGAGACAGTCAGAACTGGTCGATGAGTGGAAAGAAAGTGTCATTCTTGATTTGGAGGACAAGATTGGGTAAGACGAGACGAGATGAGGTGAGAGGAGACGAGACGGCGGAAGGGGACGAGACAAGGCGAGTGAAGACCTCAAAACTTCCGCCTCCTTCCTCCTTCCTCCTCCTCCTCCTCCAGGCGTCGTATCTCACACGGCATTTCGTAAAGCCCAACAAATGGGAGCACCTCACTACCACACCCCTGAATACTGCCTATACCTCTGCCTCATCCTCCCACCTCTTCTACTGCCATTTCTCCCATTGATACTCACCACCTCCCCCTAACATCACCATTCGGCAGTCACATCATCACGCACGAACTCAAGGAGGCAGGTGGACAGCGGATAAGTGGGCAAGTGGACAAGTGAGAGGACAGAAGGTGAGGTGGATAGAGTTGGGTTTGTTAGCTGCTTCGTCTGCTTGAAGGAAAGTGTGTTATGGAAGTGGCAGACATGTGACAGCCTTGTGGCAGACGTATTGTTAAGGGCATAGCGAATGTAGATGGAGGAGAGGGATGGTTTTGAGAAATGACGTACTTGGAGGCATTCTACAGTTCTCTACTTTTGCTATCCACCGAAACGTCTCACACTTCTTCGTTGATCGCAAATACGATAGCGTGGTCACAAGGAAGTCACAGAGTCACTCGATGGTAGTTGACTTCGATCTCGACTTCGAGATCCAGACGTGGAGACAGGAGTGCAGTTTTTTGTTTGAGTGATGACGCGAGGAGTGGCATCAGTGGTGTGAGTGGATGGTGCAAGCGCATCGCGTGACTGCAGTGATGTGCCAGCACGCAGGTGTCCATTTATTTTGAAGCACGCTTTCGTCGGAGATGTCGCCTTGGTGCATGAGGTGGAGCTTGGGTGTACACCGACAGTACTTCTGGAGCAGCAACTGCACAACCTTCATCAATGGTGAAATGTGGTGGCATAAGGCCATTGGCTAAGGAAAGTGGAAGTGTGGTGGATGTAGAAGGAGGAGTATAGGTGACCTTCGTGGAGGAGGCTTGTGTACAATTCGACTACTGGGGCTTTTTTCCTAAAGACCAATTAAGGCGATGAATTTCCAATTCTGAGTAGCCATTGTCGCATTTCCACCTGTCATTAAATTGATAACCTCAATGAGCATTCTCCATTTGCACATTTTAGTGTATCTTGACTTAGCATTTCAAACCACCTTATATCTACAAAGTAGGCGTAACTTCTTAAAAAGTGGATCTGTTTGCCCGATTATTTTAACCACCTGCTAAATTATTTACCTTGTTCGGCTGCTTAATTAGCTGTAGAAAGGTTGAATGAGTGTTTGGACATTCTCTTTTACCACCCACGAAGCACATCGCCCTGGACACAAACAACTGAGAGGCTGGGGGCGTGTGACGATTGGACAAGAGGCAGATAGACAGACGGTCGGAGGGGTGGACGGGCGATGGATGAGCATCGGTGCCGCCGTGACGGTAGTGATTGACGTCGGATCTTGATCCGACACAGGTGATAAGACCCTTTCTCTCTTGCTTTGACCAGGCTCCCCCCTAATTGACAGTGGCCACGGCAGCAGCGGTAGCGGACGCTAACCCTAGACTAGAATCACATTCATCTACTCGTTTCCTTAATTATCCAATAAAAATCCCGGTTTATGAGTATGACTGTAGCAAACCTTACTACTAAAGAATTGTGTATTATCGTGCCCCACCGATTGATGACCTTTTCCCTACTGTCTCTCGATCGAGTGCCAATCACGACACATGCCGTTTGACAGTGTCATGCCTGAAAGCCGAGGATTTGAGTAATTTCTTTGCTATAAAAATGAATTAAATAATTATTTAGTCAGAGAAGGATTTACCATTCTCATTACTTTCCTACTCAAAGTGACTACATTTTCAAGAATGTCTAGGTTATCCAAAAAAAATGAATTTTGGAAAATTTGATAGGTCTTCTCTGTGAGGCCTTGAGGCTTTTAGAAGAGGTAGGAGTAAAGGAAAATCTCAAAAGTAGGCTACTTTGACCACAAATGGTTATAGTGATTTTAAATTGTCACGGCACTAGCAGCCCCCCCCCCCAACCCCACCCTCGCCACTTCGCAACCCCCTTAATGGAGAAGTTTTCATTTCTAGCATAAAAGTAGCTGGGAGTTTAAACACTTAAAAATCCCATGTTGGGCCTCATAACCAACTGCGTACTCCATTTAAAGGCGCTATTCTCGCCTTTATTTTGTGTAGGTAAACCGGTTTGTGTTGGCTTAATTGAGAGAAAGGGAGAGACTGCGCGCTTGTTGCTTTGATCTCATCTTCACGGCTGACAGCACACACACACACCGTTAGAAGTGAGTGGCCAGACCGGTGTCAGGCTTTTATGAGCATTACGTAGTCGCTAAGCCAATACACGTCCATTAAACTGTCCAAAAATTAGCGACCAAATTATAAACAGCCTAGGATAAAGTGAATGACAAATTGAGCGTTCGCGAACAGCACTTGCAATAGGTTGTTTGTTTAACGCTCGGTTTTGTTAAAGAGCAACCTGGTGGCTCCACCAGGTGACGTGACAACCAGGCTAAGCCGGTAGCTACAAGTTTTAGTGTACCTCGACAATGCCCATTCTTCCCAAGTAATATGTGCTTTTTTGGTTTTCAAGGAAGTCTCGAGGTGGAAAGCGGATCCATTTTTGAAGGACAACTCTCCTGATTCCCACTGCTGGGTGATAAATCTCAGCGTGACAAAAGAAGGGCATGTGCTGCGGGCGGAAGAATACGCGACGGCCCTTACTGGAGAGTCTGGTCTGCAGGAAAGCTATTAACAACCATGAACCGTACCTATATGAAGACAATAATTACGTGAACATGCAGTACCACCTCCACTTCACTGCTAGGTGGACGGAACCTGGATAAGTACATGGTTGGATAACAATGAAGTGAGAAAAAGTGGCAAGGGGAGAGAGACAGAGAACCCTATCTCCAGGGAACAGTTAAACCCCGTCCTTTGCTATATGACTACGCTTCTGAGCCAGTGTTCCTACAACTTGCAGCGGACATGTGTGATAATCATCGCATTCCCTCCTTTTCCAATGCAGGTCCCATGCAAGACCGAACCCCCCGATCCAGTGCAATTATCAAGAGGGATCAGCCACTGCTAAAATTCGATGACGAACACGGTTGATGCATGGGTATTTTCCTGACAGCACCGATTACGTTATGCTGACCAAGGGAAGCGCCGAATTTGACGCTAAAAAAGGAGAGGGGCAAGGCAATACTTCAATTGTTTGTTTAGCTCTCGACTGTGCAGATGGGGCTCCACCATTGTACCTCCGCCAGGCGACCTGACGTCTGGGGTATGCCAGTATCCCCCATCCCTTTCCTATGTCAACAATACGTATCCCACCCTAGTACTACGTCTTCTTGGGTCTTTGAGGAAGTCTCAGAACATTACACATATTCTTGAAAAAACTAAAATTATCTATCCGTCGCAAAATTTTGTGCTGCAATTCATTCTTTGGCGCTGAAAAATGTATTTCACATTACTTTTAAGTTTTCTGAGCTTCCGGACAATCTCGGTCATTTTTTTAATAATCGTGATGGTGCAGTTGTTTCAAGACCTCGAAATTTCAGTAACATCTTTAAAATAAAGCCGTAATCCAAGCGGCAATATTTTCAGTCCTCAGATAGAGGATGATAGAAAAGAAGATTCCTATCTAATTTTATTTCTCCTGGCTGTGGAAATTATATGCTATTAGGATTGCTGACCAAATCTAATCAATTTACCAAAACATTTTCCCCAGGATCAAGAAAGGTAGCAAGCATACTAACGGAAAAACCGCGTAATCTTGACGCCACAGATTAGTGAAACAAGCTCAGAAGCGGTGCAACTACACTTAATGGCATAGCTGGCAAGGCTGAACAAAATTTCCCGCTGATTTTGAATGCGAAACCACCTACACAGCCCACCAACCTATGCTCCACCCCCACCCCCTCGGCTCTGACCAGCCGATGCCATCGTACTGTACGTCAACCCGCCGACTTATCACCTTCTCGACAGGCAACATCCATGGTACATTCTCAGCGGGGCAGTCGCTACGGTTCTGATGGGTGAACCTTCTACCTGTCTGTCAGGTCGCCGGCAAATCACCTGATCTTTGGCCCGGGAAACGAAATGCCTCCACGTAGAAGGGGAAGGGGCGGGAGAAGCGCTTCATCCTCAGTCGGCTGTCCGACATTCTCCTTTCGCAAATTAGTGATTCCCCCTGATTTGTTAGATTTGCCAGTCAAGTCTCGACGCCTGGAGGAGTGATCCTTGCGGGTGTTTTTGCTAGGCCAAAATTAAGGATTGCTTCCAGATAAAACCCTGCTAAAGGCAGGTTCGTCTATGCACGGCTAGGTGGTTCCGCTCTTGACATGATCTGACTATGTGAAGGTCTCAAAATTAGGAATTGGCTATCATCTGCTGTTATCGCAACAATTCCTAAGTTGAAAAATTCTACAAGTTTCATGGGCCCGCGATCATTTGTAGTCAGTGTTCTGTTCCAAATACAAGTAAAACAGGAGGCTTCCCTAAATGGTACTGATTTTTGCAAGTAAATAGTGCCATAGATGGAACCTCAGAGTCCAAAAAGTAAAAGCCATTCAACCATAAAAGAAGTACGCTACGGGCTGAAACTACGTGACAGATAACCAACCAGTGTGCTGACAGTTTCGTATTTAGTATTTAGGAGGCTGAGTTATTCGACCTAGGCATTTGTCAAACACTAGTCAATTACTCTGCAACTATTAGATGCCACCAAAACAAGATATTTCTCGTGAAATCTATATAAGAGCGAAATCGAGGCAAATTTATCTACTGGCTCATATTCCCATGCAAAAACGAAACAAGGAGATATGAATTAAGGGAAGGGAAGGCGGGTGGCGAACATTTATGACACACGTCAAAACATTAGTGATCGTTCTACTTTACTTTCATCCAATCACAGTGTTGCCGCCGTTTCGGCATTCAACCAGCAGGAGTATTTGGCGTTTGGCTTCGTGTCGGCTGCTGTTCTCCAACTCCTTGTTGATCAGTCACCGACGATAACTTAGGTGACGGTGTGGCAGAGCTTTTCGGTGGAGGCGGAGCGCCGCCACCAATGCCAGAAGAGGAAGACGGAATAGGCGGAGGAGCGGTAACAGGGGAAGTCTCCAACATGGCACCAGCCTCTCCCGACATCGCACTGACTGGCTGGCCAGCGTTCTCATATCGCGGCGCACCAAAATCACTACCAGGAGCAACTGGGAACGGTTGATGTTGTGGCGGGGGTGGTGGTGGGCCGGGCGGATATCCATAGGGTGGAAGCGGTCCTGCCTAAAAGTCAGCAAATTTTTCCTTTTAAATACGCGACTACTTAAATGGATAACAATAACAGATAATGTTAGACCCATCATTCAACTAACTCGCTGCTGCATAAAGTCGCGGTCATCTACGCTGGCTTGTGGCGTAGGTGGCTGCTGCTGCTGAGGAGGCAGCCCATGCTGGTGCTGAGGCATCATAGGCGCACCTAAAGTTACTGATATATCAGAAAAGTGAACCTACCAACGGGTGACATGTAATTGGGAGGCATGGGCTGCCCACGTGATTGGGGAGGGCCAGAGGGGTAAGAGGCATTAGGGGGTGGTTGGAGAGGCATGGGGTGTTCCGGCGGTCCCCCTGGACCCGACGAGAAGCCCGAAGGTGGGGGCCCACGCTGTAGAGCCGCACCGTTGTTCGTCGCCTGGTCGGCAATTGTAGCCAAGTATATAAGATTTTTATGCAGCACTTGCAACTCTTGCATCTCGTGATTGTTGTCGCCAGCTTTCTGGTGGTTAATTATGTTGTGAATAAGATGCACATTGTCATCTAGGATCTAGAGGATTAAAACAACGTTAGGCCTTCGTCTATCGAAGAAATCTATGCATACAAAACAAATAACAAGTTTTTATGTATTCTTTCTCCTTAATTTCCGATTCCTGCAATTGAGTTGGAATCCAGCAAAGGCAAAAAAGATCACTCCTATTATAAGAGAGTAAAATGACCACGTCTATTAAGTGGACTATTAAATGACAAAATTAACCTTTATTCATGATAAAAGTGAATTAATTAAAGCATAGATAGTAAGATAAATAAGGTGCAAAAGATTAAGCTCCCGGCGTATGTAAGCTGATCTTAAGCCGGAGGTATCAAAAAAGATTCTAGCAGGTGTGCTTCAATAGGACTGGCCCTACCAAACCTTCTGCGATACAAAGCAAGAACAGTAGCCGACTGCAAAATGCAACAACATTTGAATTGAGAACAAATAGGCTTCTCAAACTAAGAGCGTCTAAAGGCCGAGCGCAAAGCTATCGACACGAACTAAGCAACAACGCCAAGTCGAGCTAAAGTATTGACGAACAACAGCAACAAAAGAATAGGCAGGATTAACATTTCGATAGAAAGCTGATGAAAGAGTCAAGACTAACCTTTTGAATGCTGCTCGTAGTTACCACCGATTCCCGTCTGGATGTGGGTGGAAAGTACATGTTCATCGCACTTCTATTCTGCAGTAGATTCAAAATTGCAATGTTTAAGAGGAGGCCACTATATTAAGCGATAAGTCTAACAGTATGGAGCCTTATTGTAGTCCTATGATACAGCAATGGGAAAGGGGTGGCCACAGGATATACGGAAAACCAAAAAATGAGTAATGGCCCCAGGGACCATGCCCTTAACAACAAAGTGGTAAATATCCACCTTTAAGACAAATATTTAGAGGTAAAACAAAATCTAGCGCCCGCATCTTTATGGAGAAAAAGCCCCCAACGCAAAGCTCACCTAGGAACAGCTTTGATGCAAAACACCCGCTAAACGCGCGACTCTGGTTTAACAAATCGTGGCAAATCGGCGCTAGAAGAAAGAACAATCTCTAAGCATCAAGTTGGCAAAACTATATGCCTCTAAAATTATATCCTTGATACATACATGGTTTTAGGCGCCTCTTGGTAAATATAGAAAGTCTGTGAGCTGTTAGAAATGACTGGTTTAAAGGTCGAAGGAAAATAAGGCATCGCTATTCACCATGCAGACTGGCGCCGCAGCCTCACCAGTCAGCCACCAGCCGACATGGTTCAAACCCCAAAGCACGCTGGTTGAGCGTGCCTTGCACCCACGGGCCGGATCAGCCATAGCCCCGAACCCCGCTGAGGAAGCGTAGACATCCACACGAAAAATATCACAAAAACAAAAACCCAGATGGCGTACAAACATGGCAGCTGCGGGGAAACCTAGATCTGCTTTCTCTTGTTTTTATCACTATTAGATCCCGACAGTTGCAGCAAATTTTGAGCCCGAAAGTCGTCCTCGTCGCCGGAGGAGAGACCGGAGGACATCTCGTCACCGCCACGAGGACTCATCTTCCCACGCACTATCACTTCTGGTGACAATTCCCCAGGATTGCATCTCTTCAATTTCTCCCTTGGTGGCTCCATCCATCGCTTAGGCAACGCTGCAGGAACAGCGATATACTCCCCATCCCGCATTTGCCGAGCTCTCGTCTTATTACTCAAATGCAGCAGCTTGGTATTTTCGTTTCTCAGGCATTCAATCTGCTGATTGGCACTATCAAGTTGACGTCTCAGTTCCACCGCATCAGAGATTTTCACGCTTTGTCGGCGCAGTTTTCGGTTCTCATCCTGTAGTCTGCTACATGAGAGTTGCAAAGAGATTATTTGTGCCACCAGATCACGAGTACTTCCGCTTTCTTGAGGCACAGGAGCCCTCTTCTGTTCGAGGGCGTTGCCGTGGGCAAGCGCGCGGTTGAGATCGGCACGAAGACGACGGTTCTCACTCTCCAGAGTCTTGGAAGCTTTGAGGGCCAACTGCCGTTCTACTTCAACGGCGTCCAGGGCCTCCGCTGTTTGGTTAGCCACCTTCTCAGCTGACGCAGCGGCTTCCAAGAGGCGACGGTTCTCGGATTCTGCCTCCTCTCGAAGCGAGGACAGACCACGATTCAGTGTGTAGACCTGCATTTTCAAGGACTTTTCTGATTCTCTAGACCAAAAAATCGACACATTTAATTTGACAAATCGATGAATCTCCTTGTAAAAAGGCCAAAAAGTCATAATACAATCATAGATTTCGGACATAAGGTATGTTTCTGTCGACAACTTTTTTGACGCTATAAACAACCGAATTAGTTCTACTGCATTCTTGGTCTATCGATAGAGTCCCTTCTGCTATTTCTCAAACCAACTTGGCAGTAGTTCCTTCAAGTATCCATATAACTAAGTCTTTAGACAACAACAGAAAATGGCAACTTTGAAAATATTGTAACAGGACAAATACTTTTGGTCCCAAGGTTCATTCACCGCTATCCACTCAAAGACACTGACACTTTTAATACTAAATGCCAAACAAATGCCACAGATGTTTAGTAATCAGGTCATCTAAAAGTTGGCAAATAATTAGCTCTTGCGAAGCAATAAGTTCACTTGAGTCCTTATATCAACTAGAAACAGACTGATATCGTCTTTTCCACTTACTTCAGTGTCTCGATTTCCTTCATCATTGCATTCTTCTCCAGCTCACGCCGCGACTCCACCCGTGAAAGCTTCAATTCACATGCCGCTTTGGACTTTTCCACCTCCACCAGTGCCTCCTTCAGCCCGTTGATTTTTTCTTCTGACTGTTGGACAGCTTGATTCTTTGCTGCTATTTCTGAGTCGAGTCTGGCGAGAGAGTCGTTAGCAGAGAGAAGTTCTTGATTCAGCCGCCTCGCCTCTTGCCTTGCGCGGGATGCCGCATCCTCCGCAGTGGTAACTCGCATCTCCGCCGTCATTCGAGCTCGCCCAGCCTCCGCTGACGCCTCCGACGCCCGCCGCGACGCCTCTGCCAACGCCGCCTCGAGATCAGTGGCTGAACGCGCGCGCTCTGCCTCCAGATCCGCCTGTGCCCGTGCCACCTCTGCGGTTAGACGCCTCCGTTCTCCCGCCTCCGACTCTGCCAGCTGAGCGAGCGCCGAGTTGGCAGCCCGCCGCAACTCAGCCTCCTTGGCTACTGCCTGCCGCGACTCCTCCTCAAACCGGTTTCGCCAGTCAATCGCATCATGCTGACTCTTGACTAGGTCCTCTTTAGTCTGGTCCAGGCAAACTCGCAGCTCACTGATTTCTGCCTCACGTTTGGCCAGAATCTAACACAGAGGCTGAGTATGGTAAGAGAACTCACTGTCTGCAGTTTGGAGAGAGTTTGGTCGTAATGTGAGAGCTCAGCATCGCGAGATTTGAGGAGGTCGTAGTTGTATATAAAGGAATTTTTCAATTCGTCTAACTGAACTTTTTGCTCGGAGATTTTCTCCTCCTTTTGAATTATAGTCCGTTGTAGAGTATTAACCTCTTCCGCTAATAGCTGCTTCCATTCCTCTTCTTGTTTGAATACTAAAAGTGATATATTTTCTTCAACGTAGGCCATTATCAAAGCTATTTGAATTTCGGTACAGAAAAGGCGTTCCGTAAGAGAATTAAGTCTAATTAGTTGCGGTATAGTAATCATCCACTAATACAAAGAAAGGTTAGTTTACAGAATGATGTTTACAGAAACGGATGGGAGAAATTGAGGCAGATAATCTTACATCTCGATCAGTCAAACAAGTGTAGAATCATATAAATAATCTGGATAAGCCCTAAACCACAATGCAAAAGGTGAGTTATGGTTTGGGTTCACAGCCAAATATACCAAAAACGTCCAAATAAAGCAAACAAAAGTTTCAAACGACACTGCTTATACTACGTTCTTTCTTACGCAAATTAAATTCTAGAAATTGCACCCAAATCTCAACCAATGATCAAATTTAAAAAGCGTTTAATGAAAAATTACATAGAAAACTCACTTTGCCTTATACTGGAAAGTTCAGTGCAACTAGGCTTCTTCAATTGAGACATGTATTATAAAAATTAGGCAAAGCAAAAATAATAGAGAAACTTATGACGCCTCGTGAAGCCAAACTAGCGCATTCCAGCAAACGCAGGTACAGGACCAGCTCAAAAGCACGCGAACAACGGTGAATTCCCTATTTAGTGATATAAACAATACGAAATGCAGAGCTTGGACAGATCAAAGTTCCTAAAAACTCACCTCAAAAACTATGAACCTCTCAGATTCAATCTGATGCATTCTAAATATGGGCCATAATCTATTTAAATATTGAAAATGATAGCGTAGCACAAAGAACTATATTTCAAAACATTGTTTCGCAAAAGATAAACTAATGTGCTTATTAAAAATGTCGTATCGTTTTATTTTTTTGTAAAAAATTAAATAATTTAGGCAGGTTTTGAGCGAAAATCATCAAAAATTTTAATTTGAAAAGGCTTCAATTGAATGGTTCTCTAAAATTCTAAATTCACGCAGAAGTTGATATAGGCTAATGCTGTACAAACAGTTTTAAAGCACAACAAGGCTTTTTAAGTCTAATAAGGATATACTTCTTCGGCAAAGCTTACTTTTTCAGCATAAACTAGGGGGTGGGCTGCTAACATGGCCCAGAATCCAACCCACGGGCCGAAGGTACAATGACCAAAACAGGAAGAGCACAATAAATTCAGAGTAAAGCAACTAGTAGGTTGGAAAGTATTGTAGCTTGAGGCTCTTAGATCTCCTCTTCCCCGACCTACATATTCTTAGTACACCCAGGCTGATTTAGTTTTGGCAAATTAAATGAGTGATGTTAACAGGGAAAGCAAGTACTTGTACAGAAAGGCTTGGATATGAAACCTTTCTCCGGGCTGCGGGATGTTGACTCCTCCCCAGTCACGAGTTTCCATTCGCATGCTCGCATCCGCTCTGAGAGGAACATTGAAACAACGTAAGTGTTACTGTAATACGATGGTTGTTTATCTCTTGGTATTGGCAGGGAGCCACTTTTGATTTGGTCTCTGTGCCATGCAGGGTGGGCTGGCCTTTGGGCCATTCCAGTAGCACAAATACCCTTACCTCTGTTTCGCCGAAGTATCATGGCTACTTTCTTCTTCAATAAAGCCTTAAGACGCCACTGTAGGGCGAAACTCACTGGTCCCCACTACCCTGTTCCAAGCGTTCCTAGAAGAGCCCGATTGATTTGTTTTTGGCATCTTTATTAAGGGGGAAAACTCGGGAGGAAAGGTACAATGTTTAGGTCGGGGAAGAACCGCAATTGCAACTAGGCACGGAAGGCGACGACCATCCCACCAGGCTCAAATTTCTGGGATGCCTCCTTTTTGAAAGGTGCATTAAAACAACATAGGTATTACACTACACTAAGGTATATTCCTCCTATTACAGAATTGTAAGTTTTACTATCAGGAACTGAAGGTAGTGCCTTAGATAGAGGTTCAGCTTGCAGAAACTCATAGATCATGCATTTGACACAATCAGAAAAACTGCAAAATCTGTACGGCTTATATTGTTACCTATTTATAGGATGCCCTCTTGAAAGATTTCTAGCGTGCAAGGCAGTTAAGAAAAACTGTTTTAACAATTGAATTGCATTAGTCCTCTGGAGTTTTAGCTATTAATGGTCATTGTTTCAGTACTGTGATATTTAAGTTCTGCGTTTGGTCTGCGCCGGCACTCATAACTTCGCTGTTGTGCTTCCTCTCCCAGAAGCATCTCAGCAATTCCACGCGCTAAATTGCACTTTATGCTTTAGCGGCATAGTAACCTTTGTCTTAAAAAGATGGTTTAAAGTGTTCCAATTGTGCTGTGACCAATTTGGTTCAAACGACCGTTAGTTAAGACCAAATTTTCTCTTTTTGTGTTGGGACCTAAATTGAGCCAAAATCCATTTATGAAGACAAATCTTTTGACAGCATATTCAACTACAAAAAACCTGTTGAAACTTGCATGCTTTGCATTAAGTAGAACATGAAAGTGTTAAATTCATCCTGCATAGGTTTCTTACCTAGTAGCTCACTTCTAGCGCATTTTGAATTGGTTTTCTTTGTGCGGCGTTAATTAATTATGCAAAATTTAAAGAGCATACAAGTTTTAAAAAATATTGCATTTTTAGATTTTGTTTATATTTACTCAAATTTAGATGCGTTGGTGTCGTTTCATTGGTTTCGCTGCAGCAGCCAATCGTATATTAATATACTGCTGCTTCACTTGTTCCATGAGTTATTGACATATTGACGTATAATGGCCATCCTTGTGTTTATTATCGCATTGTTATTCGTTGTTAGTTCGCATGCAGAAGTTTACTTCGAGGATCGGTTCACCGAGGGCAATATTGATAAGTGGCAAAAGTCTAAATATGACGAAAGCAAGCTAGGTCTCTGCGAGCATGCAAAACCAAAGGGGGATTTCGATGATAGGGAAGATGGTGGTATACGAACAACACAAGATGCCCGGTTTTATCGATACTCAGCACCATTTACCAAGCCCCTGTCAAGCAAGGGGAAAACCGTGTGTGTGCAATTTACGGTAAAGCATGAGCAAAATATTGACTGCGGTGGTGGATACGTGAAACTGTTGGGAGAGTCTTTCAAGCCAGAAGATTTTCATGGTGAAAGCCCTTATGAAATCATGTTTGGTAGGTCACTACTCCTTCTCTACTTCTCTCCTTAGGTCCCGATATTTGTGGTTATGACAAGAAAATTGTGCATGTTATTTTCTCCTATAAGGGCAAAAATCATCTCGTGAAGAAGGATATCCCCTGCAAATCGGACACACTTACCCATTTGTACACGCTCATCATCCGACCTGATAACACATTCGAGGTTTTAATTGATAACAAGACTTCTGAAACCGGTTCTCTCGTTGCCGACTTCGATATGATCCCCTCAAAGACAATTGATGTACGTCTCTTCATTTTATCCTAATTAAATGCCTATTTAGGATCCCGATGCCGAAAAACCGGAAGACTGGGTAGATGTGGCTGAAATTCCCGACCCAGACGATAGGAAGCCCGATGATTGGGATCAACCCAAGACCATTGTAGATACGAATGCCAAACAACCGGAAGACTGGAACGAAGAAACGGATGGCGAGTGGACGGCTCCCATAATTGATAACCCTGATTATAAGGGTGAATGGAGTCCCAGGAGGATACCAAACCCTGCTTACAAGGGACAGTGGAAACCACCACAGATTCCTAATCCAGATTACTTTGAGGACGATGAACTCTATGCTCGCACTTTTGCTTACATTGGTCTTGACCTCTGGCAGGTGAAGTCTGGGACAATTTTCGACAACTTTATCGTTTCGGACGATGTTTCTGAATGTCAAGCCCACGCTGAGTACTGGCAAAAACGATTCACATTTGAGGAAGAGCAAGAGAAGAAGGGTTTTGAGGAGAAGGAGAAGGTATTGTGATGTTGCCTTTTGTTGATTTGATTCGCGCTTCTAGGAATCTTCCACTATCGAAAGTCTACCAGAAGAGAGTGGAGATGAGGAAGTGGATCTTGAAGAGGCCGGTGATGCTTCCCCGAAGGATGAATTGTAGTTGGTTACTTAATTTCTATTTGTATGTGTAATACGCATTTACTTCATTGCTAAGTGGGTGTATGGTTACCCATTGCCACCGATGTTGTTATCTTTTATCGAACGGCTTCTTGATTGCGAAAGTAAAAAAATCTTTGTTTACTGGCCGCTTTCACATTGCTTTACGCGGGTGGGGTTTGGCTGATGTATCACACTGTCTCATTGTGCGTATGCAGCTAAATATTTATCTGTCAAATCTTGGTGTCCTTCAACTCGTGGTGGGTGTCCTCAGTTGGCCTTCCTGGCGAAGGCTGAAGCTTCTGACAGGAAGGCAATTGCACGACGAAGGGACATCTCCCCGGGTGGGTCTAATTTGCCTCACAGGTGTCCCATTTGGATTCTGGTAGGTGGTGCTTTTCCTTCATTACTATAACGACTGCAACTGATCTTGACGGCCATTGATACGTTCTTCACTCGCGCATATGCACTTACCGCAAACAGGTTGCCTGCATTGAATTTGTGGTGTTCCTGGCTAGCAAGGCTAATGCCCTTTCTTTGACTGTCGAACCGAACATCTTTCAGGGGGAAACGTCTCTTGTGCGTTCTGATGGGTCACTTTCCTGGAAAAAGCGGGAACTGGTACACTAAATTTGTCCACAGGCGTGGGAACCTAAGAGGGAGGTGGTTTCAGTGCCGTAAAGTGAGAAATGAAACCTTCGGGGTTTTACAAGTGTGAGCCCCATTCGAAGCACTGCTTTATGTGCTTGATGCGTAAATGGATCAATCGGTTCTACACTTTTAGGTGAGATTCTTCTTCAATACTACAAATTGATGGCAAAATTTGCAAGAAGGTTCACTTACCTAGGCAAAAATTGCCTGGAGAAACTGCCCATAGGAAACGAAGAAAAGGCGGAATACAAAGAGTTATTGTGTTACCAGAAGGATGGTCACTTGAGATCCTCCTAAGTTACCCACTGGTGTGGAAACTTGTCGGCGAAATCAAAAAAATGAGTCCCATCGCCAACATTGTGCGTTCTCAAGTGTTGCTTTTAGATAACCACTGCTCCATCCTAATTCTCCCCCGCCCTACCTCGAGGAACTCAACACTCAGCTATCAGCGGTTCTTCAAAAGGCGAATGCTCACTTGATAAATGAGAAGGAGAAAATAAAAAAAAAAAGGAACAAAGGCTGCACTCAAAAAAGAGCTCATCTAATCAAAGGGAAGCAAAGACAACACAGAAGAACGCACTGGACTTTAATGCACCGGTCTAGGAGTGAAGAACCACGTACAATATCGGCACAAACTGGTGCCCTCAAAGACACCAATCACTGTGTGCCAACGTGAGTTCAGCCAATTGCACAATTCCATGTGGCACCTCAGTGAGTTGAGTCTACTGTACATATAAGCGGTGTCGCTCACAACACCGGTACCCATTAGTACCCTTGAAGTATGAGGGCTACCGTAGCCTTTCTTCTGACTGTATGTCTTACCACAGTCTCGTGTAAGATCTACTTCGAGGATCGCTTTCTTGATGGTAAGTTGATGATGCTTTTGCCATCACACTGGGTATCTCCTTATTCTAGGTAATATCAATCAGTGGACAATTTCTGAGGCTGAAGCTGAGAAGCTAGGCAAATGTGAGTTTGGCAAATATGATCCCGCCTACGATGAGAAGGAGGATGGTGGAATGAATACCACAGAGTCGGCACGATTCTATCGCTACTCGGCACCCTTGAAAACACCCTTTTCCAATAAAGACAAGTCTATGTGTGTCCAGTTTAGTGTTAAATATGCCCAGGGAATCGACTGTGCCGGTGGATACATTAAACTACTGGGGAAAGATTTCAAGCCTAAAGAATTCACTGGCGAGACACCTTACGAAATTATGTTTGGTATGTTGGAAGATCCAACTAACTCCATCCATTTGTCTAGGTCCCGACTTCTGTGGATACTCAACTCGCCTTGTGCATGTTATCTTCTCGCATGACGGAAAGAATTATTTGATTAAAGAGTCAATTCCTCTTACCTTGAACAATATCTCACATCTCTTTACACTCATCGTTCATTCCAACAACACTTTCGAAGTGAAGGTAGATGAGGAAAGCAGGAGGAATGGATCCCTGGTGGATGACTTTGATATTCTCAAACCACGCACAGTCGACGATCCAGATGTCAAAAAGCCCGAAGACTGGGTGGAGGAAATGATGATTCCCGATCCTGAGGATAAAAAACCCGATGACTGGGACCAACCTAAAACTATTGTTGACAAAAATGCTACAAAACCGGCCGATTGGAACGATGAGATGGACGGAGATTGGTCGCCACCGATTATCGACAATCCTGACTACAAGGGTGAATGGTCCCCCAGAACCATTCCCAATCCTGCCTATAAAGGACCATGGAAACCGCCACAAATCCCCAATCCCGAGTTTGTTGATAATCCCGACCTGTATTCACGCACCTTTGCCTACATTGGTCTCGATCTCTGGCAGGTGCAATCGGGTACCCTCTTTGACAACTTCATCATCTCTGATGACCTGAGTGAATGCGAAGCTCATGCTAAGCACTGGAGACCCAGATTTGACGCTGAAACAGAGGCAGCCAAGAAGGCGAAAGCGGAGGAAACTGAAACCGGTGAAGGGGTTCCGCGTCACATTGAAACAGTAAGCTTCAATATTTTCTATCGTTCAACTTTTACCTCCTCCCTTCTAGTCATCAAACTTTGACCAGGTGATGCGTGAGCTTGCCAAGGAGAAGAAAGAGGAAGGGGAAAAGAGTGATACATCTCAAGAAATGGTGGGTGTTTATTTAATTTGTTTTCATTCAAATTAATGTCCCTTTTCATTTAGCCCGAGCTAGAAATAGAAGAGGAAACAGTGAAGGAACCCCACGAGGAGCTTTAATATCCTCCCTTTACCGCCTGTATAATAGGAACTCATCTCTACCATTCTTTTCGCCATTATCTATCCTCAAATATAGGTAGAAAAGTGGTTTCTGTTATAATTTACACAAACTCATTCACAGCCAGCTGTGAAGATGTAACAGGGTATGTCAGTACGGAGGAAGGCTTTATTATCAGCATATATGCGAACTGGGTGGCTACAGGTATGAAGTAGATGGTAATTTAACCACCGAGACTGGGACGTACCGTAGTAAAGTGCACCTTTTACTGTGTAGGTCCTCTCCTCTTTTAAGAGTTGACCTTTGGACTTTGATAAGATTTCGCTAACTTAAGAAGTCTACTTAATTTCCCAGTGGTAGTGCACCCTGTGGATTCAGTTGAGGACTCCTTTGTTAACTAGACAAAGCAAGAAAATTAAATCTTATTGCATTAAAATAAATGAGATCTGTGCAATTGGAATTGCATGATTGAAAGTACCTGACAAAAACTAGGTCATCATAGTAGAATGGTGGCTTTAGTAGCGCGGTCACGCACATCGGCATGTTATGACTAATTTGTTGCAACTTGTGACTTTTTAAACAGCGTCTTTTCCCATCTGTCAGTTTATATGCCAAGTAAGACTTGATGAAAAAGCTAATAAATGGTGGCAGGAGCGGCCCATCAAGAAATTTATTACCTAAAGTGATATTGATCTCGAAAGAATTGCAGCAGGGAAAGAAATCAAACCTGCTAGATGCATATATATATATGCAAGTGATTAAGAAACTGACCAATGATGTAAGGTCAATGTTATTAGCGTCCATGTGGGCGAATAATCGATAATCAATAACCGCGCCCCAATCAGAGGTGCACACCAACGAAAGTGCGTGAATACTTTTGGCATGGGCGCCTACAAGATGTCGTGGCTGGTTTGAATCTCTCTGAAAAGTAATCACAAGTAGGTGTAAAGATGGAGGCAGCACTTATTCTGGCATGTTGAGATGGCTTGAAAATGCAAAAGGAAACTACATGTGGAGAGGGATAAATCACGTTAAATGGTAATTTCTTGTTTCTTTGTTTCCCTCCCCCCCCATAATCCATACCCAGTAAACGCAAATTTTACCTTCCTTTGCAAATCTTATATTTAAAAGTCGGATTAATAAAGCCAAAATTGAAAACCGAGCAATTATGATTAGTTCGTGATTCTTTGCTAGAAGAGTAGTAAACAAGTTGGTAAGGCATCGCCATAGTGATGGAGGGCAGCAACAGGCACCTCAAAATTCAATTCATTACATAATCAGCAACGAAGCAATTCTCACGTAATATCTCATCCGGTACTATTTTTAGGCTGATTTTGAAGTTAGACTAGGTGTAGTGTTTGCAATCAGGGTTTTTTGTCTGAATGGTGAACTCCTTCTATCGTTGAAGTTTGTAAAAATTTACAAGACAAAGGCAAAAAGGAGAGCGCTGATGTGTACTTAACTAGCCAATAGTGGGCTTTCACGTTATAGAATTGAAGGTCGCTAGGGTCGTGGCCTTGTGAATGGTTTATTGCAGCGGATTTGAATGCAACGGTGGGACAGAACTTTACTCGAAAGGCACGATTCCATGCCGCTGCGAAATAGGCTATCGAAACTAGGCATGGCTTGCTTCAATACGGTGTGGCGTAAGGAATTAGTAACATAGTGATACTATCGATACATCTGCAACACAATCACTACTCTCGCCTATCCACGAAATGACAAAAGCCAAAAATTACTTGGGTTGGTAAAATAAAAACAAACAAGCAGGTAACATTGTTTACTACTTTTTACTTGGGTAGTCGGAATGGCATAGACTTCAACTAGTGCCTGACTAGATAGCTCACCTTGTCTAACCGTTGGGGTTGGTGAGTGTCAACTAGTGTGTTATGCATAAATTCAAAGATGGTGAAAATGAGCTCAATTTACTGCTCATTTAATGACTACTCCCAGACTGCGTACAAGTTTTTCAACTCATCTGATTAACAAATAAAAATGCATTTAAGGTGTCATTGTTTCTCAAGAAGAGAAATCACCTCATGTGTCACCATGATGGTCAACCATTGGCCAGAACAACACTTGCCTGTCGATAGGTCATGGTGTATGTGCAAATTCCCACAAAACTACAAACATCCTTCTTAAATACACTTCCTACACCACCCAACACATTACAGAGATGCGTGTTAGTGCAATTGTAGGGATCTTCGGGATACATTGCCACAGATCCGTGGGATTCCTATTTATTTGGTAGTAACAAACCATAGATACTAAACGCTTAAGCGAAAATCAGCTGAGAGGTCATAATCATGCATCCCCCTGGCATAAGCGCGGTACAGAGATTTGCGTTCTCTGTTGACAAAGCAAAGTGGTGGTGATTAAAAAAGATGAAATAATAGGTTTGAATTGATAACGCCATCCTCCACATAAAATGCGAGATTTACAACAGCCGCAGGAATTAATTGCTGCTAGAAGTTACCATAAATAATCAAGAAGTAAATGAGCTTGGCAGAAATTTGCCAAACCTGTAGGATTAAATGGTTTTTGCATACGCAATAATTCAACAAAGGCTGTAGTAAAATGATTGATAGTTGACATAGTCAAATAAAAGTCACTTTTGTGTTTGATTATTCACTGGTATGAAAATTGTGTGGAGCGAGACTCCTCGGTCTCCGCTTCCCGATTCCTAGCGTTCCCAGACAAGCCCGGTTGGTTTGCTTTGGACATCTTTATTAAAGACGACAAGATGTATGGGGAAAATACAATATTCAAGAAGGAGGGGAGCCGCAGTCACTAGGTAAGGGAGAGGGCGATCCAGTTACAAGGTTCGAATTTTCTGCTTGCCTCCTCCCTGAAAGGCACATTAAAACAACATAAGTATTACAATTGCCGATAGCATACTGAATTGTTATACCTATTTGCAATTCGGCAGAACATTGACATTTTATTGAATTCCTTTATTGAAGTCTCTTCAATTTCGTTGATAAATTTGCTTCAATCGTAAATTCAGATATAAAAAGGGTTCCAGTACGAGTTTTAATACTACGATTAATTTACCAAGCACACAAGCACAAAAGAGCAGTACCCCGTATATTGATAGATTCTAGGTAGCTAGAGGTTCAAGTTACTATTTCAAAGGAATTTCGGTGCTGATTACCTGGCTTCTAAATATGGATTGACAAACCTCAACCACAGTACGCTTCTACTTAAGTGGGCACGAATGTAGGATAGTTTCTTTAACAAATGATTTCAACCAACTTCTCATTCACGGGAATAGCTGTAATGAAAAATTATGGGATTGCACAAAAGTAAGAATTACATATTCCCAACATAAGTCTGTAAGCTAGTTGCGGACCAGTGATAAACGCCTTTGTTTGATAGTAAGAAAAATCGAAGTTACGAGTTTTAATTGCCCGTATTTTGCGCGGTGTTTATAGTAGCTGCTGTGTGCTCGAGTCGGTTGTCGCTTCGCAGGTGATGTCGAACGTTTTCGGCGTTGATATTGATGAGCTGGCATCAGTTTTTGAGGACAAAGGAACAGGAGAAATTCCGATTGCGCTAGTAAAATCAAAAGATGCTGGGCAGGTGGATGAAGAATTCGAGAAGAAAAAACGAAAGTAATCCATTTGGATATTTTTCATCTTCTTCAGGGTGGAGGAGAATCTAAGGGAACACATAAACATTTCCACCAAAGAAGAACATGTAGAGCCATCTAAGGACCCCAAATTGTCATCGGTGCTGGAGTCAACGCTGTCAAAGGCCCCACGAATCAAGATTTACAAAATTCCAGCCCCTAGCACCTGCACCCACGAAGTGTGTGAATATACATGGATATTCTCACGAATGTACATTTAAGGTAGCATATCCCCCGGGTATACCGTTTAAGAGGTTGGAAGTGATTTCTGAACCCAAGATTCTAACGTTTCCATTCACTCTGGATCCGTTTCAAAGCCAGGCCCTGCTTTGCATTGACAACAATGAATCCGTAATGGTTTCAGCTCATACATCTGCTGGCAAGACAGTTATTGCCGAGTAAGTGTTATTTCAAGACACGATCTTACGTTTTTGCTAAACTGTTATGACTTATACTGTGCCACACCAGATATGCGATCGCCAAGGCACTGCGAGACAAGCAGCGTGTTATTTACACAACTCCCATTAAGGCCCTTAGCAATCAGAAGTATCGAGAGTTCTCGGAGGAATTTCCGGAGGTCGGTCTCCTAACTGGTGATGCTACAATCAACATTAATGCTAGTGTTCTCATCATGACCACCGAAATTTTGCAGTCCATGCTCTATCGGTAAGCGTTTCTCTTTTAAAACTTGTAGGCATCTTTTATGGTCTTTAAGTGCATGTATGGTAAATGCAATTCTATATTTTTGTTCTTTTGTTAAAAATAGATAAAGTAGTGTGCTCGAATATCACCTATATTCATTCGGTTAGGAATCTTCACAAATTCAAAGGCTAGCCAAATGAATGCTTCTTGTCGATCCATTGCAAGCCAAAATTTCTGCTCACCTGCTTGCCTTGTAATTGATTTTAAATTCCATAGGATTTTGCAAATAGGTTAATCTGCATTTGGGGAAATGTACATTGATAGACCACGATTGAGTCGTTGTTCACTTAGGCCCCGTATGTATCGAATCACTGGTAACTACGAAGAATGATCGAAATTTTGATCACTATTACCAGAACACTCACAGCTTGTGAAATAGAGGTGGGCTCTCCTTGGCTCGAGCATAAAGACTTTACTCGTCAAGTGGTATAACTTTAAACAGAAACTCTCTTGCTTGGAAACCCCTAGGGATGAAGTCGTCGCATTGAGAGGTAACGCCAAAACCCTAAACCTATGTGGTTTCCCCTTTCTCTTCTTCACCAGAGGCTCTTCCATAATGCGCGAGGTGGGGTGGGTGGTTTTTGATGAGATTCACTACATGCGTGACCCGGAACGAGGTGTGGTGTGGGAGGAATCGCTGGTGCTGCTGCCTGATTGCGTGCGCTTTGTCTTCCTCTCCGCCACAACACCCAACGCGCGCCAGTTTGCTGAGTGGATCGCCTTCCTCCACGCTCAGCCGTGCCACGTGGTCACCACAGATACTCGACCTGTGCCTCTGCGACACTACATATACCCCCTTGGTGGCGATGGCCTCTACCTTGTTCTCAACGAGGTCTGTCTCCCTCTTTCTCGCCTTGCCCACTGATGTCTATACTTACTTGATCTAAAAATTCATGGGTCGAGGATTATTGACAGGCACCCCATTTCACTCGAATGGACTCACAGTAGTCTATCGTGCTATGGGTTATGCTAACTGGGAGTTGGATTATCGAACTGGTATGTTTTATACTTTAAGTTAAATAGTATCTGGGTTCCGGTCTGTGTCCTCTCATCTAACCACTATAGAGGACGTTTTTGATAGCCGGTGTTCAGGTGTAAGGCCAAGTTGTAGGACTGTCTTTCTTCTAAAGCTTGGTTGGTTTAGTTAATGCAAAAGTGTATTGATCTACTTATCTCAGTAGTCAATAAGAACTGTCAACCTATGCTGCTGCTGACCCAGGTTTGTTTTGAGATTAATGCATCTTAGTTCGTTGCAGTTAGTTTTCAGTTCTTCATTCTTAATGACAAAGTGGTGTCTCGGAATGGTATTTATGAAAACATTGCGTTGACCTCATTTGCATTCGTTAACCATTTATACCATTCCAAGTTAGACGGTTCACTGTCTGTGCTATTGTGGGATTGTTTATGTATTTTTCACCTTAAATTTGGCGGTTTATCTTTAGGGGTGGTAGAAAAGTGCGATAGCAGTGATTTGGAAATGGATGCCCCTATCTCCACAAAAAGTACTTCTGCCTATGATATCACACCGAATGAATGCCATTTTTCAGTACTCTTGAGCAAGTTTAAAATGTGTCTACTTGGAGCAACAGAGTGAGAAAATAATAGGCTTCTTTTAATCAAAATCGTGTGATTGAGTGTGGTGGTGGAGTAGCATTTAATTTTTTCAAGGAACTCAAATTACCCTTTTGCCTCCTAGCAAAAAGTATTTCCTCATTGACTTTCAGGGGAATTATATAGAGGAGAATTTCCGAAAAGCCATGGCCTCCTTCCCCAAGCAGAAGGAACTTGGCGGTCCAGGTACCAGTCGTGCCAAAACGGGTCCTATGAGCAAAAGTGCGTCCACCTCATTTGCCATTACCTTGATGAAAAACGGACTGCTGTTCACCTCAATTAGCAAGGCACTTTTATAATTCCTGTTAACAGTGCGTTTATCCTCATTTCAGTTGGTTTCTTTTGTACCAGCGTCGTAGATATCTAAAAGTTGTTTGACAAACCTCATATTAACGAAGAAATATGCTCCACAACTGTAGTCCCGTTTTGCACACCCTTTTAAAATTTCAGTAAAGAAGGGCACTGAACAGATCTAATTTTTTCTCTGCTTCTAGAGACGGAGGACAACGTGTCTAAGATGGTGCGTTTGGTGAAAAAGCACAATCTCGAACCTGTCATCGTCTTCTGTTTCAGCAGGAAGGAATGCGAAATCTACGCCCTCAAGATGTCCGAATGTGACTTCATCACGCGTGAGTTGGGCTCTTTTTCTACCTCCAGTCTAATGCTGATTGCTGGCTGATGGATTCAATGTTCTCTCCGTTTTACTTTCCTCAAACAACTTGTTTTATAAAATATCGAATGCTGTTTTGGCATGAATTGGTTTATCTTGAAAATGGGTTTTGGTGATTTTGGAAAGCTTTTTTTGGGATCGTGAGCCTCCTTAGTAAATTTCTTACCAACTCATTTGGTCATTGTTGTTATTGCCTCAACGTATATTTTGTGCATTAGTTCACATATCCATAGTTAGAGGAAGTATTTTTTTACAACCGTAAAATGTTACTTCCGAAACTGGTTTGCGTTTCACAACTTTGAAGGATATTTTCATTGATACTCCTAAAAAGGGGCATTTCAAACTCCTTACAATATCATTTCTAGCTGTCTATCCATCTTTGAACGTTCCTTATCCGGTACTTCTTTGAGTAAGTTGATTTAGTTATTATGAGAAATTAACAGTAGATTTTGAAAAGCATTTGCAGCTATCTTTTAGAGGGTCATTTGAGTAATAAGGACAACACTTCGTCAGGGTGAGTAAAAGCCTAAGTCTCGAATGCGCTTAACAATGGCATATGCTCAGCAAAATTTGGACCGTCGTCGATTCCGAATTTGGCTGGATGAATGATTTTTCATGGGACAGAATCAAACGACATTTATCTGTTTTGTACTCATTACACCTGTTAAGTTTCGCATGTACTGCCTTCAAAATTTTCATTTAACGGAGTTGTTTCTAAACCAAATTACGCGAGCGTTTAACCATATTTGGGATGCGTTGGGTTTCAGTTCCCTCATTCCCTTACTGGGTGCGTTATTTACAAACACAAAAACCTCAGCACAGATACTTAGCCTTGCAAAATGTCGGATCATTTCTCTCCATATCGCATCTTCCAAATCCTCAGCTCGAAATGACTTTAATTAGTCATTAGAACTGCTAAGACGATTGCATTAGTGTAGCTCAACTAATATAATTCTTGTTTGTCACCCTACCTGCCCCTTTTCTCACCCACCAGCTGCAGATAAGAACGTAGTGGAGGAGGTCTTCAAGAACGCTATAGGTGGACTCTCTCCGGAGGATCGCTGTCTGCCGCAGGTGGAAAGTGTCCTGCCTCTTCTCAAGAAAGGCATCGGTATTCATCACGGCGGCCTTTTACCAATTCTCAAAGAGACTGTCGAGATTCTCTTCGGAGAGGGCCTAATGAAGGTATGTGACCGACTCCTGCAATGGGCTCTTTCATCCCCTTTTGAAGTCTTGCCCTGTGTTTATCAGCGCACAAATTTTTTATACTGTCAAATACTTTAAATTACTGAATTTTTGCCACGTTCTTGACAGATGTGTTGAATGATTTTTTAGGAACCGTCAAACATCTTTGGTACCCGCTTGTGTGAGCGGTGATCCCAATCTGACCATCATTAAACATATATATACATTTTTTCACATTTTATGTATTTTTAAGTTGTGTTCCTGGTACCTCCTATTAAAAGAATGCTGAAGGGCTAGATGGCATTGAAGATTCTCGGTCTAAAATAGTTTCCAAAATCCTGGTTCCATGGATGATGAAGTTTTATCACAATGACCTAAAATTAACCTATATTTTGTTCCTTCATGGCGATAGTTTCCTAAAACAAATGAAATCTGTCTGAGCCTTTTAACAATAATGTTTTGGTTTTTCACAATACAAACAACTACTGGAAGGTTTTGAAAACACTTTGTTTGATGAAGTAATCATCAGGTCAATCTGCTATGTAATCCTTTTACAAGGAGACACAAACCTGCTTCAAATTCCACTTTTATGTAACTCGTTTTTTCTCCAGAAGATCTAGCAAGGGTATTGTGGAAACGAAGTGGTGCGTGCCTTGAAATTGCGTAGTGGGTAGTCGGTGGATAGTTTGGGAATAACAACAATATGTCCATCCATTTAGTGAAGGTGGGAACATGAGGGCATGAGAACAATTTTTCTTCACCATCGGCCAGTCTGCACACACTGCCTTCCAGCTGACGCGTTTTCATAAGTACATGAAAGGGTTACAATTGTTTGAATTCCTGAATTATTAGAATTTCATAGGATGAAACTCACGCCTTCTTGATAAGAATTTGCTTTTTTTCCACTTTCAGTGCCTCTTTGCTACTGAGACCTTTGCGATGGGTTTGAATATGCCTGCCCGTACCGTGGTTTTCACCTCAGTGCGCAAATATGACGGTGTCAACTACCGTTGGGTATGTTTACTCCCAAAAGTGCTTTTCTCCTTGGAATTTTCTCAGAACTTCCTTTTGAATAGTCTGCCTCTATGTCGCGGTAAGATTTGAGGTGACAGTTAGTCTTCTAACTTTATGGCTTAACCAAAGACTGTCAAACCCCATTTAGCCAGCATCTACACCTCCCTAAATTGCCTCGATCTCTTAAAAAGGTGGAAGAAACGTCTTGTTGAGTAATTTGGAATGGATGCATCTGCTTTCAGCTCGTCTTATCCACTCTGCTTCCATTTTCCCGATTGGAGTGGCTGGATTATCTACAAAGTACCTGTTTCACAACTAAACTGAAGTTTTGAAATAACGCCTATTAACTCTTAGTGAAGCCAAATCTTTTACCCAAAGGAGTGGGATATCTCATATTACATGAGTTGGCCTTTTACCATTCCTTTCGTAGTTTGTCTACAACAAATCTGAATTTTCTTTGCCATCATTTAGAAAGTAATGCTATTTAAGGAACCAGTGTTCACCCTAGATGAACTCTTTACTTTACCAAAAAAATTCACCTTAGTTGCCGAAGGTAGAGTTGAAGTGTTGCTAATTTGTCTTCTTCAAACTGCGAACCCTCCAAACGTTCCAATACGTGGAAAGTGGAACTGTATGGTACTGGAGATGTCTATAACCCCTCGGCTTTAAAGGCATTGAAGAAGGTATAAATAAGCTGGAGTTGTGATCTTGACCGCTCATCAGTGTGCATTGTTGTACTGTGCACGTGGTTCATATCACGCGGTTCCAATAACGTCCGAATTTTGGTGGGACTTTTTTCCTGTTTTGATTAACTATCTGACAAAATAACGGATTTGTAGATAATCTCTTTTGCTACTTCAGGTAGCACTAGACTCATTACTTAAGTCGCAGGGGGTGTGTATATGCAGATATGGTCTGATTAGACTCAGGAATATAACTTTCGAGCCATTGAATGAACGACACTCCCGAGCTAGTAGAAAACTGTGGTTCAAGTGGCTGATCGAGATAAAAGGCGAAAGTTTCCGGTGCAAATGTCAAGGCTGATCACAGAAAATGTCGAGACTGCAGACGAAGGACATCCTGGTTATCAACGACTCGATCAATCGTCAAATTAAAGCCAGGAATTCACCAGGCCTCTGAATGAATTTCTATCTTTGATAAGCGGCTTAAGCAAACGCAGCATCTTTTTTCTCTTCCTCTCAGATCACAGCTGGTGAGTATATTCAAATGTCAGGCCGAGCAGGCCGAAGGGGCAAGGATGCAAGCGGCACGGTTATATTGATGGTGGATGAGACCCTCACGGAGCAGGCGGGTCACGCCATCCTGCAGGGTAAACCCGCACCCCTCAACTCCGCCTTCCACATCACCTACAATATGTTGCTGAATCTTCTGAGAGTGGAGGAAATCAATCCCGAATATCTGATGGAGCGCAGCTTCTGCCAGTTTCAAAACTACTCCCGTCTTCCCGAACTCTCTGAAGGTACTTACTTTTGATCATTCTCGGTGTCACTTCACACCAAACTGAATAGTTTAGAACTGAGGATAGTACACCTTAAGATCATTGAATTACTGCCATGAGGACTACTTATCCTTGAAAGGGAATGGCTTTTCCATTTCTAATACGTGTATGACGCAAATTTCACAAAAGGCTGAAGAGAAGTGATCTGCATGAAGTTGGTATGAACTGATTTCGTTGAAGTAGAAGCGAATATTCTCAAACTGCTGAATTTTCATCATGCTGACAGCTTACTTTCTCAAATGGACGAGTATGGAAATATCGACATTTCACGGAAAAGTCCTTCCAGGTAGCCCTCGAAGTCTTAATAAAGAGTGACTTCTAAGTGCGTTTTCTGATTCTCATGGTTGAATTTTGTTACTTAAGCTCTCCTTGAGGAATGCTACAAGGCTAATAAACCCTAGTAGAGCTTTATTGTAAGTGTAAACTGGGGTTGGTGATTTGTAAACAAACCTGAGGCAGACAGCTTGTCGTTAACACCAGAGTGATGGCCAAAACTGCAGGAACTTAAAAATGCGCGGTGATCATTATAAAGTTGTAAAAATGTCGTCCTGTCACACTTCTTTTTCTCTTTCTGTATTTTCTCCTCATAGAGCTGAATCGGTTGCAGACGGAGCTCAGTACCACAGTGTTGGAAGAAGAAAAGGCAGTGGAGTCCTATCGGAAGATTCAACTGTGCCTTCAGGAAATCGTTGAACAACAATGGCGGTATATTCGACGTCCGGAACATATTGTCTCCTTTTTGCAGCCTGGTCGCCTTGTTAAGGTGCGTGATACTCTGGATTCTTTTTTAGCTAATTTGAAATGTGAAAGTGAAAATTTGGTTCGCTACCGCACGCTCTCCGAATGCCGGGCTTCTGAAGCCTTGGAGTTCGGCTAAACTCGATCTAGGAAGCAGCAGGGAAGCTTGATTTACGCTCTTTAGGTTCAGGCAAAACTCTGTGCTATGAAGCTTTAGAACATGAGGGATGTCGTGAGAAGCTTATAGCTAATGTAGTGATCACGATTATGGACGGAGTATGCTTGAGAAGTGTTGCTGCAAAATACTAATAGTTTCTTGCTCGGCTTCCAAACGCCCCCCTTAGATCGAGTCGGAGGGTGATGATTATGGCTGGGGGGTGGTGATAAATCTGAAGAAGCGTCAGCGCAATGACCGCGTCTCCGCGCTGGAGACTTTCTATGTCCTCGACTGTCTCCTGGCCACTCGCCCTACTGCCGACACTGCTGGCGCAGATGAAGCCCCATCCACCTCAGCACCGAAATCGGCTGAAATCCTGCCCGTCCGACTGGATTGCGTATGCGGCATCAGCGCGGTGCGACTAATGGTGCCCCAGGATCTGCGCTCACCAGAAGCACGTAGTCTCCTCTACGCCTCCATTGAAAAGGTCAAGACGAAACTTGGCGTCGCTGATTTGCCTCATCTCGATCCCGTGAGGGATATGCATATCACGGATGCTAAGTTCAAGGAGATCACTGAGGTTAGAATGTTTCGATGTATTTGAAGATTTAACCTTGTCGTTTAACCTGAAGCTTTTACAAAGGCTCATTTTTAACGAAAAAGGGCGCTCACAGTTACACTGACATTGAAACTTCATTTGGCTGTACTACTTATGTTGCCATTGGTGGTATCTCCTTTTTGTGCAGAAGGCGCGCCTTTTTGAGCAGCGTCTTGAAGCCCATCCCCTTCATAAATCTCCCCGCTTGCCCGAACTTCTGGGTGCCTACGAGCGCCGCGAGGCGCAGCGGCGTCGCATTGATGAGGTGACTCGCAGTCTCACACAGAAGGTCTCTCTCATCCAAATGGATGATTTGGTGGGACGCAAACGCGTCCTTCGGCGACTGGGTTTTTGCAACGAGCACGACGTCATTGAGCTGAAGGGCCGGGTGGCTTGCGAAATTACATCAGCGGACGAGCTGGTGCTCACGGAGCTTCTCTTTGAGGGCATCTTCAATCGTCTCTCGGCTGAGCAAGTCGCTTCCCTTCTCTCCTGCTTCGTCTTTGATGAGCGCGCCTCCGAAATGCCCAAACTCTCAGCCGAGATGGCTGATGCCCTTCGCACTTTGCAGGTGAGCCGCTTATCCGACGGTCTGATTTACTTACCTAACCCTGCACACTGCACATGTTTGATCCATCTAATTAAAAGAGGGTGAATTAGATTGACAAGGAGAAACGAAATAAAAATAATTGGCATCACACCTAAACAATAAAACATCTGAGCTGTAGTGATTGATTTTTCTCAAAGATACCTCCTTCATTACGGCTGGTTATTGCTTTCTAATTTATCTCGAAAGGCGGAATAAGGCGTTCGTGTCTGCCACTACTTTGCAAACTTTGCTCCAGGAGTCCATTTGCTAGGTGATCGGCTACAGTGGGGCGACTTTATCCACTGATCGGAAGGACTTGAGGGTCAGTATTATGGCTCCATGTCACCGGCAGGCATGTCAAATTGCGAGATATGTAATTAAACCTAACTCAATCCTATTCATGCTTAAAAATAATGTGGACTGAATCTCTTGTCAGAACGCCACAATTGCTTCTCGGCAGCGACCTCACCGAAGACAAAGCAGGGAGGGAGGGAATTTACCTGTTCAGCTGAGAGACGATTAAAAGTGCCCTCAAAGAGGAGCTTCGTGAACATCATCCCCCTAGCTGATGCAACCTCGAAAGCCACGTGGCTCTTCACCTGAATACCGTAGCTTAAATAAACCAATCAGTGAATTGGAATGTCTATACTTTTGCGTTGTAGGATATTGCACGACGGATTGCGCGGATTAGCAGGGAGTGCCATCTGCCAGTGGACCCAGACTCCTACGTGGACTCCTTCAAACCGTATCTGATGGACTTGGTGTTGTCATGGGCACATGGCGCTACTTTTGCCAGTGTCTGTGCGGGCACCGACCTCTTCGAAGGAACCATCATTCGTTGCCTGCGCCTGCTTGAGGAACTCCTCCGCCAAATGACCAATGCTGCTCGGACCATCGGCAATGCTGTCCTCGAAGCCAAATTCAGTGAAGGTATGCTTTTTCTCTTCTGATCGTTCAAAGCCAGATCACAAGCATTTGACCGCTGGCTCTCCTGTAGGAGTAGTAAATGTAGGTTTGCCCGTCAGCTTGTGCGCAGACTAGTTCTTTCAAGGAAGGGGTAACTCAAGACCCCTTTGGCAACTCCTCCAGATTCGGGGTTTTTTTGAGTGTTCTCACTAACTGAATGTAAGTAACCGGATTGAAGTATTGGGAGCCAGATGCTGTTCATTCTTGGATGATTGAAGGATACGTTAGCAGAATCACTATGGTTTGCATCTATGACGAATAAGATGGCTTGCAACGAAATTAGGATAAAACTTGGATTTCACATGCCATGTTACCGAATAGCTATAGCGTCCTGTATATGTAAAAGTATTTATTCACTCATTTTTTCCCGAACTTCATCCAAGTTCTGAGACGATCTTTTTAATATCACCCCTCCTTGCTTGCTCTTGGATTCGAAATTACAAGTGTTACTGGTAGAGACTTTAAGCAAGAAGCTCACAACCAACCGGTGCTAGTCCATTTTATAGCTAAACACGGTTCATGAGTTCTCTACCTACCGAAGAATTTGTATCAGCTACTGAATCATGCGTTGTGAGAGTCAGTTTCATTGAAAATGACCTTGAACCCCAGAGCCTAGATTGGCATAATCTAGAAAGCGGAGTTTGAATCTCTTTCCCCTTTCAGATATCGTCTCATTTGCGACTACGTACATTTCAAGCATTTAAACTCACGTCCGCCCCACCATTAAAAATTGGCGTCCCCTAGGGCCTTACATATGATGGAAATATCTTTAATTAGGCAATCCTTTTTTAAAACAGACAGTTTTGCCGTATACTAGCGGTACCGTTTTGACAGAGGGTAAGTGTATCTCCTCACCCCTCTGAAGGTGCTTGCTCCGCTTGCGTCATCTCACATGGAATCACGGTTTCTTTTTTTTTAATGTCTTTTAGCCATTGAAAAGATTAAACGCGATATTGTTTTCGCCGCTAGTCTCTACCTCTAGGCTTCATCAATGTGTTTTGTGTACAGTATTTGTTACTACAGCCTGTTTATTCCTGCTTGACTTTTTAAAATACACTGATATTTGCAATGGGGAGGAGGGAGAATCACTCGTGGGCCTGAGACTTGGTGAAAAAGTGGTTATAGTCCAATCGTAAGACGAGTTGGGAGATATGGCCAGCACCACTACCGCCACTCATTCTTGTGATAGAACTCGTCTGTGAGGCAGCAGTGAGGGTGGAAAAGAGGGTGGCAGCCAGGTGCTCAAAAGCTGCCGCCGTCGTCAGCGAATAGTTGTCTTGGCGTTGACAGCAAACGTGGAGCAGTCGCAAGAGGATTGAGCGAAGCCGCGGATGATGCAACAGTGTCTGAGACTCCACATTCGCCAGAAAGGCTTCGTGAAGAGCCTCTACGCAGCCGAGGTTCTGATCTCCTGGACGAGTGCTGAAAGCCTTCAAAAGTCGTTCAAAGGCCGACCCAATCACGTCAATCTGGATGAGAAAGAAGTGGAATTAGATAGGGTTGAATGTGCATTAACAGAAGAAAAGGTCGGGAGGAAGTGACTTGGAGGTAGCAGTTGAGGTGGCTAACGATAAAGTTCATCTGATGATGGAGGAGGTGGATGCGTCGGTCGATGCTTCTTTTGGCTCCGCGCCAGGCGGTATTGAGTGCGTGTTCGGTCCGACGCACAGTTAGAAGGAGGTGGAAGAGACGGGTGTAAGAAGTCAGTGCGGATTCCGTGAAGACGGTCTCCAAGCCGGCTGGGATTGGGGCGAACTCCAGGCGAAGGCAGTCCCACGCTGTGGGATGATAGCCAATGGCTTCCACTTCATCGTCCCCAAGGTCTTTTGACAAGAGAGCCACCTCATGGGGATTTGTAGACACCACGAATCTAAAGTTAGCGATAGATTTTGTCGATATTGGGAGAGAACTAAATAGAACTAGTAGAGGTTGAAAAGGTCGTTTCTCCTTGGTGTGATATCGGTAGATGCACAGGTGTGGCTGCAAAAGTAGACTTGTAGATCAATGAAATGGCGGAGTATGTACATGAACTACAAATTAAAGCAGTAGCGGATGTTTTAAATTATCTTACATGCCAAGAAGCACCTGAAGGCTTGTGAGGAAACTAGTACTCACGACAGCTTACATATAATTTTTTGTGTTGGTCATAGCCGGGTTTACCCTTTGTACATTATACGTTATGAAAGAGGTAATAAACGTAGTTCAAAAGGAGTAGTAACAATGAGGGGGATCGTGCGGCATGGTGTGGTGGACTCTTCGGTGCTTCTAACTCGAAAGTAATCGATCCGAGAGTTCAAAAGCCAAACACAGGTTTCAGCAATGGGATTTGTTGGACTGAATGCTCCGCAGACCTGCGTCAGGTGATTCGCATTTAGGTGACGCGCAGGGCGAGGCAAAAAGCGGGAAACAGAGACGATGGAGTCTATGGAAGCTACCAGGAAACCACAACAACGGCTTCAGCCTTATCCTGACGAATAATCGAAAACACGAGGGTCAAAAACAGGAAGCTTTTTTCCAAGTTTAAAGAGAATGCAGAGCATGATTCACGGGCAGTGCATTTTTCATCGGTATTTTCATCGTGGCGTGGACCTCGGACAAACTTCAACCCAGTGACTGTTTCGGCAACATTCAGGCAAGCAATTTATGCGTCAAATATGAAGATCGAGTTGATAAAGGGGTACCCACCTGAAGCATGAGACTAGTTCTTCATCCTCCATGCCAACCGACCTGGCGGCAGCCAGAAATGCAGCACCAACTACGTAGGAAAGGTTTTTCGCCTCCGCAACGGTAGCAGGAATGGGACGATCCAGTATGCTCCTCCCCGTACCGTCACCCTCAGCCAACAAGTTGTCCAAAAATGCGACGTAGAGCTCACCGCGTCCAAGTAACATCACGTCCCTGACCAGATTCAGGTGATGCACCAATCCGAATTCTTCAAACATTCGGCGCCACACCTCCCCCGAAACGTAAAGCCAAATGTCACGGATTAAGCGTTCTAGCCCTTCATCCACACCTTCTATTAATTCCGTGTTTTCCAGTTCCGCAAATCGTTGGGAGAATGCCTCTTCCAAATGATCTGTAAGCTCAGTGCCACCTGAACGAACGGCTTTTCCGGCATAAAGAATATCGTTGGCGAGGGTGGGAGATATGATATTGGGAAACTTATTTGGAACCAGTTCACATTCACAGGATACACAAAACTCTTCATAGGGGTCGTTGATTGCACCATAAAGGAGCCAACTTGACAACTGATGACGAAAAAGTTGCAGTAGGTGTTTAAATATTGAAGTGACTGCAGGAGATTTGTTCATGAGCAGTACAGAGTTAATTATGCAAGAGTGATTCTGGTGGTTCTTTACACAGAGATCGAGAAGGTGGGTGAGAGAGTTGAGAACTGCACGAAAGGGTTCCACTTTGGAGAAAATGTAGGTTATCCCAAGGTAAGGGGCTTTCAAAAGTTCTGCCTCTATCGAGGCGATTGCCGCGCGATACTCCTCCAAAACTTCGTCTAGTCCACAAGCCAGTGCGGTTAAATAAAGGCTTCCCGAACCGGGAACATAAAAATCGCAAATGAATTTTTGAAGCCGCAAGTAACTTTCACCGATTTGATGCATTTGTTTAATTAGTCCAATCTCGCCTGGGGCAATAAAGGGAAGTCTCTCTGAAAGTAGTTTTAGTCGATACTCCGGAGCTTGGGAAGGATCATCTACTGAAAGGTGAGTACAAATGTCTCCTGGAAACCCATGCAGACAAAAGATTAGTTCGTGAAGCATAGTCAGGAAGAACGCCCCCCACCAAATGAACGACTCAATGGGCGTACCGTACACACAACAGCGTATTTTAACGGTATAAAACAAGCTAAAGTTAGTTTAACCAAAATTCAGAACCATATATGATACTAAATTAGTAAAATGCAAGAATTTCTATTTAGAAATTAGTTTCGCAGTTCTTCCTCCTGTTGTTCTAGTTGACCTTTCTGTATCCGTTTTGGAACAAATTAAAACTAACATTTTTGAATTGTGAAAAACAACTTGATTAACTACGGATTCTTATTGCTACTCTTGTCGCGTTCATTATTGCACATATTTTTTGTTTAAACTATTCGAAATTATTACACATGGACTTTCTGCCTACTTTTGGTTGCTAAAAGGTTTTGGTGCTATCTAAGCCCTATGGATAGGGTGGATTCCGAGTTTGTGGATTTTTGGCACTCCTTACCATTGGCAAGATTTCGTTCTTTCCGTCATCATTTTTAGAAGCCCGATACAACAATTCGCTGCTTCGATCGAGGCGTATGTTCTTATCCTGTGTTAATACTTCCGATTAGGAGAATTTTTCTGTGCACTTTAATGACGCCACTTTTACTGCTCAGAATTTTTACAAGAATTCTGGCTGTGTTAAATATGTATCCATTGGTATGATTCTGCACATTCTTATCAAATAGACAAAACCTCAATTCCCTCCTTATTCATTCCGAAAAAGGATACCGGATTTTTCCGGTTCCTTCTCCTATCGAAGCAGTATCGTGTCGAATTGTATTCTTTCGGTGACGGTGCCTGGGCTCTCTCTAATCAGGTGCTAATTTTCCTTAAACTTGGCTAACATTTCTAGGCCTCTCCTGGTAATCTAACTGAGATGGAGGACTATCTTTATCTATCCGAAGGTGAAAGCGAGGACTCGACACTTTTGGCTATCTACGTCAAAATTTCCAACGACGAATGCGTATGTCTCTGCGGTCATTTGCTTAAGTCCTTTGTCTGTAGGTGGTGTCATTGGCATTTTGCCACTTGGAAGATCACCGTTTCCTTATTGGCCAATTCATCGATTCCAGTTTACTTCCAAATCTTGAGACTGCGATTCTACAGTTGGGTGCTAGAGAATGCATTGTTCCTAGTGGTCTTCTGAGTTCCGACATTAACGTTTCTAAGTTGAAGAGTTCTGACAAACCCGGTCGTCTCCAATATTTGGAACTTGTTCTCGAAAGATCCAATGTTCTTATCACCGAACTTGATAGAGGTTTGTGACAGTTTTCGGTTATTTTCGTGTTTTTATGAAACCAATGTTTTTTTTTTCATTGATTTAGCTGAGTACTTTACAAATGACTGCTTCGAGGACTTAAATTCGCTCCTTAAGCAGAACAGTACATCAACTTCTATCGATGTTCCGAATCTCTTTCACGCCAGTAAGGAACGGATCTGCTCTCGAAATATACTAAATTTTTTTGTAGAATCCGAGCTTGCTGAAGCATTTCTGTGTCTGGGAGCAATTTTTAGGTTCCTTCGCGTAAGCCCTATTTCAAAATCGACTACCTTCCTGTTCTCATTTAGCTCCAATCTAATGAGGCTCTGGCGCACACCTTCACGATCTCTTGTTTTTCGTTGGATAATCATGTTCGGCTGGACAGTGCCGCTCTGAATGCCCTTCATCTACTGCCCACTTCCAGTGAAACAGGTACATGTTCCTGGGGTAACCAGCTCTGAATCTTGTGTAAACATTGTCAGTTTGCCTAGTTAACTGAGGAATTTGAGGTACTTAAGTTGTATAAACACGATCCTGATTATTTTCATAAACATTACCCCTTTATTTGGATTTACCACTTAGTTCCATCCAACCTTTGTTAAAAGGTAACAACGAATCTGAATGTTTTTTCGAGTTTATTCCTCCTTAAGTTTGGGCGTCTGTTCAAACGAATGGATCCCATATATGCCATATGACTTTGTAAAGGGAACACACGGTTTGCATGCCGTAACGATTTATGTTTGGTGAAGCGATTGGATAAATTTAGGTATTCTGAACACTGCTGTTTCGATGGAGTTTTACTAAGGAGATGCTTGCCTTTCGTGGTATCCATTGCGTATTTGAAAACTCATCGTTCTCAAATGAGTCTTTAGTATTTTGTAAATTATTGGAAGATTGTCTTAAATGGTTGATTTTTAAAAAAAAACATACCTTTCGCATTGAATCAAACTAATGGCGGGGTCTGAATTTGATATTTTTTCAGATACATGCCATGTGTACTTAAAATGGCTGGCTTCTCCTTTACAGATCTCATCTCTGGTTATTTTTCTCTTGAAAATCTTCCCTTAAAATGTATACTATGGGCATATATTCTGTTAAGCGCACCTTGGATACTTTATTCACGCTAGAAATGCTGACGAACTCGTGTCAAAATTAGATGTAATCAAGACGAGTTGTGGTGTTTCATTAATCCGTGTTCGGACGTAGTGTTGTCGAGACTTTGGTATCTTTTTCACAAATTAATAGTTTTTTCTTGCTCTCATGTTCACGTTCCTGCTGGTTCACCACCCACAAATAATCCCAGATGTTTTTTTTCAAAATGTGGCTTTTTTGCACGACGGGCGTGCATTGGAATGTTGAAACATCTCTTCAGTATACTGTTTGTGTATTCCTAGGTGGGCAGTTGAGTCCCACAGTGCTGTGCTTCCTACTTGACTCGGTGATACTTAGTTGGCTAGTGGCTTGGCAAACTTATTATTGAAAGGGCCGAAAATGCTTGCATTATATGGCATTCATCATACTTCTTAAAAAAGTCAATTCTTCGGTGAGATTCTATTCTTTCTTATCAGAACATGACGGTTTGTTGTACTTATTTGCATTTTTAGCACTGGTACCACTATCCCAGATCATAAATTTCAAGACGATCAAATTACTTCAGCTTTACTACTTGAAAAACACTGGTGTCTTTCATTGTCAAAAATGAGGAAACATTGTTTCATGGGGTTTAAATCCAGTCAAGAAGTCACCCAAGGCGAGGCCTTAGTTTCATCATTAGCCTTTTGTGTGCCCACATTTTTACCATCAGTGAAGTTTGATTCATGTAAGTCAGTCTTGATGTATGACCTAAAGAGGATTACATAAGGTCAGAAATCAACCTTGCAACCCTCTATCACTCGGGTGCAATGGTATAGCAACTAATTTATCCCCCGAATGTGTCAAGTCCATTGAAATAACTTCGTTCACTATTCAAACCGTTTATTGCTCTTAATCTGATTTTTCTGAATATTCTGTTGAATAGGAGAATATGTTTGTGTAGATTTTTGCCGCGAAAATGAAATTGATCCAGAACGTTTCTCAAAATATTACTGTGAGATTATCTTATCTATTTTCAAATGGACACAAGCCTGGTACGAATTCCAGTTTTATAAAATGCTTCACCTCTAGATGGAAACAACAGCTCTACCCTCTTCTCCTTCTGTCCTCCTACTTTTATTACTCAACCATCTATTCCATGTCATATGTTACCGTGTTATTGTCAAATGCTAATGTTAGGGGAAGGTGATGATTATTAACTAGGAAATATGGAGGGTGAGCAGTATTTTTCCATCCTGAAGGTGTAAATAAAATGTTTCGTTACCCACATGACGCATTGCTGCAAGTTGTTCCTGTCATATTATTCTTGTATTATTCAAAGATGTTAATGGCAACTAGTAATCCTTCATTATTACGAATACGTACCCATCTTTGTGCTATTACCCGAATTAGATTGCTTGAATTATTTAATTTTGGGCTATATGTGCTGCTATCGCGCCTTCAGCAAACTAGGAACTGCGTTAAACTCGGTTCTGAAAGCCCATCAGTTTGAATTCCATCTACTGGTTCCAAACAATGCTCTGCGACATGAGGGTTCGAAATAATTGGGAAGTAGTGTAGAGCACAATGGAGTACCGGAACTTTAGACTTCTCCATTTCATCCAGGCTTTGTAAAGCGTGCCTATTAACAGTAGTACTTTGCAGATTCCTCAATGTTACCAAAGTCATCAAACCGATCTTTCCTGAAAATCACACTCTGTCACCAACTAGTACTCAAAAATTCCTATTATCTCTTCCTTGTGTAAGGTATCTCATAGCAGTGCAACTTTCGGTTCTTCACGTCTTTTTTGCATACCTTTTTTTTCTCTTCTAGAGAGCAAATACAACAGCGTGTACGGTGTTCTGAATCACTGTCGAACACCACAGGGGCAGCGGCTGTTGGCACAGTGGCTGAGGCAACCTCTCACTGATGTTGCTCGCATCGGTAAGCGATGGAATTTTCCTACTTAGCCCCTGTCAGTAGACGGTTCTTAAAATACCCATTTCCTTTCAAAACGCTTTAGACGAGCGCTTGGATTTGGTCGAGGCTTTTGTAGATGATAGCAGCCTTCGGAATACTTTTCACGAAACCTCCCTTCGACGAGTCCCCGACCTCCCGAGACTTGCACGTCGGCTGCAGATGTCGAAAGCTAGCCTTCAGGTAATCTCCACATCCACATTCACTGCTGTTTTGCTTTCAGTAGTTGGACTGCGTATAGAGACTATAACGTTATGGTACCTCATTCTGTACTTCTTTTCGCAATTCTAGCATTTGTTTTTTTTTTTAAAAATCTTGGTGGCGACTCTTTCCAAAGTCGACCTTGTTATTTTCATCTCATTTTATTATTCTGACTGGTGGCAGTAGTTGCATTTGTAAATTCATGCTAGATGTAGCTATTAGGACAAGTCAACAAAAATCGAAATAGCAGTGATTGGGCTTTTATATTGAATTCGCTTGTTTCATTTTTATACTTTTTTGTTACTCAAAGAGAGGATCTTTTTTACTCTCTGAGCTTCTTAAAACTATCGGAAACTGACTTACTTTTATCGCTTTAATTTTTATTATCAAACTCCCATACATGTGATATATGAATTCGCTTATATGAGGTTGGCGTCGCATGTGACATGTTCCCATCACTTTTTGATAACCAGTCGCACAAAATCGTGCTGAAAGTGGACTGGTTGAGTTTTAAACAATTAAGTACACAAATGATGTTTTTGATCCGGAAATATTTGCCACTTCTCTAATTCTCTGATCAACAATTGGATTGGTGGCATGTCAGGACGCTGAAACACCCAAGGTGTGGTGGTGGATTTTCCTCTGCAATCCTAGTGGTGGTGTTAGGTTTGTTAATTACTTCTATTTCCAATGGTCTAAAAATTTACGCAATTTTACGGAAGCGATGCTTTTATTGTGTTCGCTGGTTTTGGTTCATCAGTATTTATCACTGTGGTTTTGAAGGTTACAAACTTTACCTTCTTTTTTTTCATTACCTTTGCTACCTATCTTAACCACATCAATTTTAGGAAGTATCAAGGGTCTTTAATATGTGTGGATAATTCCATCATAAATTGCTCTATTTTCTATCCGAACGTGACAGTTCCACACATGAAAGTGCCTTTCATAAAGTAATAACGTATTTTTACTGCTTCAAATGAAATAAACAAAC